TTCTCGCAAAAACCCAGGCCCTGCCCCAGACAAAGGACTCCCGGCGGACCCTTTTTTGGGGTCGGATAGCCCTTTTTTTTGTGTGCATGAACTGCAGGATTACCTGCATGCACTCGTCCGCGGTACGATTATTTTGACCGCCAGTAATGATCACAACCAATCATTGTTTATCGTTATCAGGGAAGTCCAGCGGGAAGCGGAGGAAAGTTGGGGCATCCGAGCCCAGGTTTCGTTGGCGGCCTTCGGAGCCCACAAATGCCGCATGGCACAGGAATGTCAGGTGTTGGTCAATCGCACCGTCCACAGAGCAACACAGGCTTGATTTCGCGAATCCTACCTCCGCGTGCTTGGGCCGCCGCCGTGCCCACGTTGCTCACGCAAGAGGCGTTCCATTTCATGATCGCCGGAATCTCATCTTCGTCGACGTCATCGTCGGCGGTCGGAGCCGATGGTCAGCGAAGCAGTGGTGGCGAAGATGAAGAATCAGCAAGCGTTGTAGGACCTCTTGAGCGGTTTTTGGGCTGTATGTTCTTGCACTCGACGCTTCGCCGGAATCTGACTGACCACCAGTTCCGGGCCGCGTTTCTGAACGTGACCACGGACGCGTTCCCGATCTCGTTTAAAACGTCGAATGGGGAGCTGCAGATGAGTTTCTTTTTGAATGCGGAAACTTGTCAGTCTGTGGCCCTGAAAGTGGCGACGGAACACCCAGATCGATGGCCGCAAGAAGATACTAACGTGAGTGTCATCCTCGTTGCAATTTTCGAAGATGTACGAAGAATGCTTCAAAAGTTTAGTCAGTATCCTAAAATCGAGTTCAACAGCGTTACTTCGAGTCATACTCCTTTGACCAATGTGGGACATATGAGACTTGAGACACGTCTGTTTATTTGCTTAAATTTTAGCTCTACTTGTGCAGCTTCTTGTTCCCAAAATTCTAGATTTTAAGGATAGCATTCAGCGGAACTTACGGATCAATGTTCACGATCAAAACTTGTAAGATGATCCTGTGTATTCTCACTCTGAAGATGATTCACTTGCAATACGTTACTTCATACTGGAACTGCCTGTCAATTCGAGCAGTATCTTAAAAAGTGTTGCAGTTATACAGTATTCGACTTTCTCGCAGATACGGTATGCTTCCAATTCTTCTTAACATTTCAACCTGTGAGCGAGAGAAAATTGAAGGAGTCCTGAAAATTGTGAAATCACATCGTTAAAATTTGAAATCGCGCACATTTCGATCCGTCCGAAAAGTCTTCTTACGAGAGATTCTCGACTAAATGCAATCTAATAAATACTGTACTGAACTAACTGCTGTTCATTGTGTGGGAATTTTTTTGAGTTTTCAGCTTGCATGATATACTTTTCTGAGCGATTCAGAAGTAGGAAGTTAATCCTGCATGATTTTCATTTTCTTATTTAGGCAATTGAACAATTCTTCGAGAAGCGGGTTGCAACGCTACCGCCGAGACTGGTCAACATACAGGTATGGCTGACTTTTCCCGATGCATGTGTTTATTCTTCTTTTCGGATTAACTTGTTGAAATCTTCTTGGGGATGAATATTTGCCAGAAGTCACTGCTGAAAGTATTGAAGAGCATACGCAGATTTAAAACAAAGAAGAAAGGGATGTTTTGAATACTTAACAAGTTCGCCGTCACTTTCATCTAAAGGTCACTAGTAACACTGTATTCATTTTTCAGGCGATGCTGCAAATGCTGGCTTGTCCGACGCGTTTGTTGAAGGACATGATCAAGATTATGAAATTAGACCTGTGTCCTCCACCTGCACCAACATCAGGCATGCCGTCCATGAATCTTCCGCGTTGGAGTGTGCACTGGTGCTTGACTATTCCCAGCTCTGCTCCGCCGCTGACGACGCCTGGCATTTGCGCCATCATTCCGAATGCTCACAAACACTTATTTTTCGTGAGTTATTCGTATTACGTTTCTCGTTGAGGTTATTATCGTATTGAGTCTGAATTCATGATGAAATTTCATATACCGATTCTTTGATTAGTTCTTGGAGCTTTTCAACCAATGAAGTACTGTATTGGAATTTTGTTGGGAAACTCGTTGCATTTGACTTTCTATTCGAACCCGATTACAGGTACAGTACTGTAAACTCTTCCTGCAACGATTTCGATAGGGATTTCTACTCATCCCATGTAGGTTCTCTGCAACGAATTTTATTCTGGTCCCTTGAACTTCTTTGTATAGAGATTCCACGTGTAAAGTATTCAGTTCCATATATCTCTCGCCCTAAGTTCCAGACGGTTGCTTTTTGCCGTCACGTAGATGTCACTTGACTGCGTGAGGTAGAAGATTGTTCGTTAGTCTGTTCAGTGATGAAGACGAAACCTTCGTGACTCACCTGTAATCAGGTTGTGTGAAGTTGTGTAATGGAATTGCATACATATATTCTGTTACAGCTGCAATTAACGCGCTTGCAACCGGGAGAAGGCCCTCCGTCGATTGTCATCCCGCTTTTATACGATAATGCGAGGAATGGACTTTCTATGCCGGAGGCAAAGCATACCGCAATAGTAAGTGCTTCAGTTCATCAAGTCCTGAAGAGATTATCGGACTTCGGAACCCATCGCGAAGAGTGCACATTGTATCCGGCAGTAAAGGAGTTGATGATGACGCTGATAGTTGGACCGGACGGGGTTCTCACCATTCCGCAACCTGTAAGTTACCTGGAATGCATTTCGAAAACATATCCGCTGTAATCGTACCATTTCAAAATTGGACTGTCATAAAATCTCTTCGTCGTGCTTTTTTTTTTTGGTATGTCTAGAAGATGTTGCCTGAAGCTTTACCCTGTCCGAACGTATCGTTAATTGGACAACGAAAAAATATAAAGTGCCGCGACGAGTACAGTAATGAAATGAAACATGAAAAGTTTGAATTAAAAGAACTGCAATATTTTTCGTACATTCGTCAGTAATAGCATTTTTTCCTTGACAGACGCAGGGAGTTCCACAAATGCAGATGGCGCCCCAGCAAGGCATGATGGGAAATCAACAGCCCGGAATGATGGGCTCTCAGCAAATGATTCCGAATCAACAGCAAATGATGCCGAATGCGCAGTCTCAACAAATGATGGCCAACCAACAACAGCAACAAATGATGCAAAACCCCCAACAGCAAATGATGCCCGGAAATCAGCAACAGATGTTGCCCAATGCCCAGCAACCCATGATGCCTGGGAACCAGCAGCAAATGATGCCGAACCCGCAGCAACAAATGATGAACAACCCGCAGCAGCAGCAAATGCAAATGGGCGCACAAATGCAAATGGCTCCTCAACAGCACATGATGGGCAATGTGCAGCAACAGCAACAACAAATGATGGGCAATCCGCAGCAACAACAAATGCAGATGGGGGGTGGGCAGATGCAAATGGCTCCACAGATGCAAATGGGTGGTCAGATGCCGAACCAGCAGTACCAACGGATGATGCATCCGCGAATGCCGCAGCCTTAATAATATTTTATAAAACACTGTTTTTATCCGATGTGTGTTCATTTGTGTTGATACTTGTAAGGGAAAGAAAAATGCAGTAAGATTATTGGTTTTGTAAAGCTTGATGTCGGAGAACGAGTCTCGATGAATTTTGATTGAATCATCATAATTTTATTTTAATTGCATTTGCTTCTCGTCATGTTTTTCTAGATCATGATGAAGGCGACTTCGTCCTATCCCTTCAAGATTGAATCAGTGCTAGGCAAGAAAACAGCTGATAATGACGTTTATTATTTGATACGTTGGGCTGGCTGTGGAAAGTGAGAGAAACTCCTACCGTTTTCTTGGTCTACGATCATTTATAATTTCATCCCCTTATAGCATTGACAATTCGTGGGAGTCCAAATCATCGTTGGACGTGATAGACTCTGAAACAAAACGGATCGAAGATTACGAGCGTTCAATTGCCTTGGGTCAGAAGCGTGTTTTTGAAATCAATGAGCTGAGCAGTTCCGTTGAAGAGCACGATGCCGCGTTGGCGAATGCCCTGCGAATTCATCGTAGTTGGTGTGAAACGAGAGCTCATAAGCATGTCCCTGCAAATGTTCAAGTAAGAGGAAGTATGTGCTGTTGAAATGATTCAAGGCTGAGAATTATGCGGTGGTATTTTTAGAATTACTCGGATTTATAAAGTTTTTGCCGCGGAATCATTTGAAAAACAATCTTCGCATTCAAGCCTCTTAGTTTTCAGGCTAATGATGAATGTATTTTGGGTAATCGGAAATTACGAAAGAAATCTGTCAAAGATCTGGCATACAAGTGAACTCTTCACGAGATACTTGAAAAAATGGTTTACCTTGGAGAAATGTCGTTGGGAAGCTGTCTGTTCGTGAATTGTAAGATTTTCTAAGACGACCTAAAATTGATTTCATGGTAAACGTTACAGTACTTAGTTCAGAGCCGAGTGCTTCAGAAAAATCTGTGGGAAAGTTCAGCTATTTTGAATTCCTCTGAAGGAACACTCGTATTTTCAGAGAGTATCAAATTATTTGACGATATGAATTATGAATGTAAGAACTTATCACTGTCGTTTGATCGAGTTTTTCGAATATCAAGACAAATTGGGGAGGTTTTCAAACTTGTTTTTCTGGTCTGTCCTTTAAAGGAATCCAATTCTGTGAGTGTGATCCAACGCAGTCAGAATACCCCTGAAAGTATACTTGGTGTGAAGCCACATGAAATACCTGGAGGAGTAAAGTATTTGGTCAAATGGTTCGTACTTGATATTGCTTTAACCTCTTCTATAAAGTCGTGAAAATTCATCGCAGAATTAATTTCAGGAAGGGTTTGTATTCCTCCGACTTCCTTCCTAGTGACATCGTCCGGACGGAGATGCCTGAGCTTGCCATAAAGTTTTTTGAAGAAAGGCTAGGCATTGAGCGAAGGAAAACTTCAAAGCGTGTCGAAAAATTGTGAGTATTATCTACATTTTGTTGTTGTTGAAAAATCAACGATAGCTTTCCGGAATTCGTTCATCTGCTGATTAAAGGCGGGGCATTTGTTTTTTAAATACTATACTGTACTGTATATCAAAAATAATTTCTTCAAATTTAGCCTCAATGCAGTATTTGAATAATTCCAAGAGATTCTGGGGAAACCCTTATACTTCGAATTGGTCGATCTTAGATTGAAGATTGTCGATCTTTTTATTTGCGGCAACTTGTGGATAAATGTTGTTCTCGGGACGTGGGGAAAGACATTTTTGACGTGGGCATCATTACAATAGTGGAGGTCATGTGAAACTTTCGGCACGACCCTTTTCACGTTATACTAGAACTTGTGTGAGCTAACTTCGGTTTCTTACAGGAGAAAAGCCGAAGAACCTCATTCCAAAAAATCACGTTCGGAACCCAGAGATTTTGTCGTCCTGAAAATTTTGGATTGCCGAACCCGAAATGACAAGAAAGAGTACTACCTATCATGGAAAGGATATTCGTCGTAGGTATTCATTCGCCGAATTTTTGGGAAACGTATTCCCACCGATGTGTCCTGAAATTTCCTAGTGATGCAAATTCCTGGGAACCGGAAGAAAACCTGAACTGCCCGGAATTGATCGCTGCGTTTGAAGCCTCCCGAACCGCTGATACCTCATCACAGAAAAATCTAAATTTTCAAGGAATCGGTTTCCAAAAGGGAAATACGCCTGTCAAAATTCTATCAGCTACTCGAGTAGGATATGATGTCAAATATCTCATGCAGTGGGAGGAGAACGACGCCCCGGAACTTGTCCTGGCGGAGGAATGCAACAAACTCTGCCCCGGGCTAGTTGTGGATTTCTATGAACGAAGCCTGTGTTGGAAGGAACAAACTGAGGCTCCGCGACATTCTTAATTTTCTTTTAAACGTTTTTTTAGCAGAAACTTTGCCTCCGATTTTGTCGATTGTGATGAACGCAGATTCTGTGTGCCCCTCGAGAACAATTTCTTGGCTGCATAATTTTGTACGAATCTTACCGTTGGCTGTCTCGATCATTCTTCTTATCTACTCCGTGAACTGCCTTTAATTCCAATTCTTCTCACATATTCCCTGAACTGCCTTTAATTCAAGCAACATTTCGTTATCGGCAGGACTGATTTTTGTTTCTGGTGACCGAATGGAACTATGGAGCGACACTGAGAGTTGACGCGGAAATTTCGCGGCGTTCTGAGGAACGTTCGTTTGTTGGAAGTATGTTTCGGACTGGATTAGCAGTTGTCAACGCATTATCGCGTCGCCATGTCCGGGTAATTCCATCTGTCGGATCAAAATTACGATTGCAACGTCAAGGCGAATGGAGTTCCTGCGAGACTTGTAAGTTTATCAAGTCTGGAATATTTCTCGAGGATTTGAATGCTGTCCAGAACGTTACTATGTAATGGAAAAGTCATTAATCGTGCTTATTTCAACTCCGTTAAACTACTGCGGAAAGACGTATGATGGGAGGTGTTGACGTCGAGAAGGATTGATGAACGTTTTTTAAAAACATAAAAAGATTAATCTCATTTTTCACTTCTCAGACTTCAATTTTTTCTCTTGGCCAAAAAAAACCTCCACATGAATAAAGCCCAACAGAGGCATCCAGAAGCCTGGGGATTTTGGAGTAAATTTGTAAAACGGTAAAGGCTATTCTTACTGCCAGTGGCATCTATAAATGTCGAATTCGCTCTCCCATGGCTCTCAAGTTATCTACTTTTACATTTTACTAATTCTTTCATTTCTCAAAAACGAACTTTATTTTGCGGAAGTTTGATCAAGAAATCGATTGATTATTCGAAGAAATTTTTCCTTGTTTTAGGTTCGACGATCTTAACCAGACGGATACACACAACACTACCGAACCTTAACAAAAAACGGGATTATTACGAAATCCTTGGCGTTGCTCGAAATGCCTCCACTAAAGAAGTGAAAAAAGCCTACTATCAGCTGGCCAAGCGTTATCACCCCGACACAAACAAGGATCCTTCGTCTGCCAAAAAATTTCAAGAAGTTTCAGAGGCGTATGAAGTGCTCAGTGATGACACGAAACGGAAGGAGTACGACTCGTGGGGTTCCACGAGGGAACAGATGAACAACTTCGGCGGCGGGGGAGGAAGTAATGCGCAGGGATTCGGCAATTGGGAATTCCGCACTTCAGTGGATCCGGAAGAGCTTTTCCGGAGAATTTTCGGCGATGCGGCGTTCAAAGGTTTCAGGTCTGATGACATGGATTTTGCCGAGTCAAATTTTGGCTTTGGTTCTGCTCAAGAGGTAAGTTTGATGCCTCGAAATGAGTCATGCGGACGAGTTTGCTAATAGCAGAAGATCGAGGGACGGGTACGTTCTTGTGCCAATAAATACAGAAAAACGTTAATATTTTGGCGAACACTTGGTTTAAAAAATCTGGGCCCAAAAAAGGTGGAAGAGGGAGAAAAAATAAATTTTGGTATCATCCGAAAAAAATTTTTATAGTCACGCAAAGCTGACTTGAACAATGTGAACATATCCTTAGAACATTAACACTTGCGTAATACTGAACTAGAGAAAACCTCGGATGAGGACACCTGTTCTTAAAATTGATATACATTATTTTTGCTGTGCTTTTTTAATGCAAGTACAGTATAATAAAAATTAATTTCTGATTCGTGATTTGATACTGTCATGCCTCGATAACTCGAAACCTCCCTTAGTCAAAAACCACCTATTCGTCGAAGTTGTTTTGTCCCTGTCTGATTTTTCTCAAGAGCAAATCACCCTACCTCAAAGACTCCCCCCCCCCCCTCAAACCCCAATAACTCGAATTACTGGAGGCTTCTAAGCTATTTTTTGCTTACCCAGGAAAAGGGAAAGAAATAGTAATAAAACTCAGTGCTTTAATTCAAAAGAAAGGAAGTGAGCAGAACCAAAATTGTGGTGACTCATTGAGCAATTGTACCCTTACCTCCAACTGCAGCGTGCTGAATCAATTCGACCAGCAATTTAAGGCTCATAAAATCACAGATTTTACTTTCCAGTAATTTAAATTTTTCCACCCAGCAACGAAATGCTGGATTCTCTAACTCGAGAACTCCTGAGTTTGATTTTTTTTCCCCCTGGGTACCTTGACGTTCGACTGTATATGTCGGTCTGTATTACTACTCGGTAAAAAGGTTCTGTTGTATGTTGTCATGAATTGATGAAATCAATTTCAAAGCTCTTGAACTGAAGTTTTTTTTTTACCCGAAGGTGATCGTTCACCTAACCTTCCAACAAGCTGCACGAGGTGTGAACAAGGATGTGACGGTAAACGTCGTTGACACGTGTCCGAAATGCCAAGGATCTCGCTGTGAACCTGGGACTAAAGCCGTGCGATGTCCCAACTGCAACGGTACTGGAATGGAAACTGTATCAACTGGTTAGTCTTTCTCCTCATTTGTCCACTTTTTCACGGATACGAGAAGGCCTTTTTTTTGCGCGCGCAGTTCAATTTTTCCGCATTTTGTCTAGCAAAATTATGGTACTTCAGATATAACATGATGTAATGATCTCGATCCTAATCTAGGCTACGAATTTCTATTTTTGTCCCGGATTGCTTCACGTACTAGATAAAACACGGTACTGTATTGGTGTATTACCTGCTAGTTAACTATATCCTTAAATTGAATAAACGACGTACTTCAATACTGTACGATATTTTTTTCTTGATCGTGAATACCCATGCAAAATATCGTACCCCAATTTTGCCTACTGGAGTGTTTGTGTCGTGCAATTTCTCAATACAGTACACTTACTAATTTCCTATTTGAAAGCGGCATGAACGGGTTATGCTCCCTTGAAAATATAAAATTGTTTTTTCTTTCTTTATTTCGGAAAAGGTCCTTTTGTGATGAGGAGCACGTGTCGTCAGTGTTTGGGCACGCGTCTTTACATAAAGTTCCCATGCTTGGAGTGCGAAGCGAAAGGTTCCACGGTGCAGAAGCGAGTCGTCACTGTACCTGTGCCCGCGGGTGTAGAGGACGGGCAAACTGTCCGAATGCCGGTTGGCAAGAAGGAGGTGTTCATCACATTCCGGGTTGCCAAATCGGATTACTTCCGGAGAGACGGTGCCGACGTGCACACTGACGCCACCATCAGTATAGCGCAGGTAAGATATAATAGAGTACAGTAAAGTATTGCCACATGAAGTATGATTGATTGTATGGAGATTAGTAATTTTTACTCTCCAATGTTTTATGATGGTCTGACAATTACCCAACCAGCTTGTGCTATTGAAAGGCAAAATTGGAATATGAGCCTTACCCAAAAGGAGTAAAGTTTATCTGCCGTCATCCGTTGACCAGAATTCATCCCAAACCTTTTGCAAGCCACGTGGAAGCGCACTGATGGCTGAGATTTATTTTAATATCTTCAATCTAGTTTTGGTAACCCCTAAAGTTCTTTCTTCCCGTTGCATTAATGATGAGATGGAAGAAAAAATTGTACAGGTCGACTCTCTTTACAACGAAACTCAATGGATCATCAAAAGAATTCTTCGTTGCGAACCTCCTACAACGCGGGGAGAGAATTTTACCGGACCCTTAAGAATCGTTATACAGAGAAGATTGTTGTAGAGAGAGAGTCAACATGTATTCATGAAATCTTGAGTGACCGGTTTTTTTTTTCTTCTCTTTTCTTGTAGTCAATGCAGCGGCACGTCAAAATGTGTCTCATGTAAAGGACATCTAACCCCGATGTGTTCTGCATCTTTTCTAGCGTCACTTAAAAATCGTTTTCTTTTGTTTCCCCAATAACTTACACTTTTATGAATTTCTTATTTTGGGTTATTCTTGTGATTTTACGCCGTATTCTCAGACAACCAGCCTCCAATTTTGCTTATTGATGAAGTACAAGATAGATGTACAGTATTGTGAGACTTCATCATCTACCGTTGGTAAAATTGTAAACCTACTCCATTTATTGTCGTCACAAGAACTTGAATATTTGAAGAATCGAAAAATGATGCGAAAATATGAGATATCACATAAATGCCTCTGATGATGAGTTGCACCCAGTGATTTTTGAAATCGGCTTGCAAAATGAAGTGAAAAGCCGTCTTACGTCGTGGATTTTATCTTTTTTCAGGCTGTTCTTGGTGGAACAATTCGAATAGAGGGTATCTATGAAGATCTTGTGTTGAACATTGTTCCGGGAACTTCGTCACATGCCAGGATGAGAGTGACTGGGAAGGGCATAAAACGGATCAACACCCACGGTTATGGTGACCACTATGTGCATATCAAAGTGGAAATACCGAAAACCGTGACAGCTGAGCAGAAGTCTTTGTTCCTTGCTTATGCCGAGTTGGAGCAGAGCACTCCTGGTACCATTAATGGAATAACAAAGCAGGGAAAAGGTGCGAGGTTTTTTACTGTACTTCCTCAATATGCCAATGCAGGGTGAACCTGAAAAAAATTGCACGCTTTGTTTACATAGCTTCGAGTTTTTCCAATTTCTGCGCGGAGTTTAGAAAAAGTCGACCCGTGGGAATTTTATTTGGTATAGCATCCATGTATCATTGAAAAGAATATTTGATAACCTTAAATGTGACATTTTTCCGATGCGTGTCTAAAACTGTTGCGGAAAAATACGCATTAAATATACATTTTTGTATACTTGCGTCTAGTCCACCTTGCAGGAACGATATCAATTGAATCGATGACTCAGTCAATGCACTGACAAATTTACTGTGCTAGATATTCTTTGATACAAAATGCCATCAGAGTCCGGAGCGACGTTGTCATCAAATTGTGTGGGTTCTTGTTGACAGGTGGGGAGAAAACGTACGCGAGTCAACGTTCGAATGACGACGATCAGAGTTCCAGTTCTGATGGCATTTTGAGTCGTCTGAAAAAAGCTATTTTCGGATGAAACAACGTGAATGAAAATCATATTCTTTCTTTTGCATTTCGTATGTCTAATTAGATCAGTTTTTTTCTTCTTCTTCAACAGATAAGAAAATTGCTGTGGATGGAGATGACCGCTCGAAACTCCTTCGTGCCGTTCTCAAGGGCAACTGGGATGAGGCGGAAAAAATGCTGGATCAAATTCAGCAAAGTGACAAACGTGGTCAAGACCATTCTAGTTGAAAAAAGGAAATGCTTTTGTTCATGAAATCTGCGTGGTTTTTGAAGCATGATAGAATGAATAAAAGTCATGATGTTACAAATAACTGAAAAGCCTCAAAAGATTCCCAGGGACAGGAGTCAGCCAAGTCTTCCCGAGAATTGATGCCAAATTCTTGAATTATCTGATTTTATAAATTTTAGGATTATCTTGATTTTTAAAATTACTTGATCTTTTTATTTCGGCTCATCCTTGGCAAGTTTTTATAACTTCTGTAAAGACCCTGAACAGGTTAGCATATCTCTGTTGGTTCGCATCGCCTGGCTAACCGATACGTCTTTCATACTGGAATGAAATGAGGCCGAAAATGCTTAAGGCTGAAACCATGGCACAGTATTGCTGTAATTATAGCATTTTTTTTATTCCATCTCTGAATCTTTTTTGCACTTGTCGTCCAATGTGAATTGACAGTTACGGTAGTTGAAACAGGGAGTAGTTTCGGGCTAAGGTGAGAGGTGGATTCTCCGTATTTGTTAAGAGAACAATTGTTTAAAGAAGTGATGCTGTATAAGCCCTGCTGATGATTTGACGGAGTACTCTAATCTCTTGTGTGTCGCACAGTGTTTTGTTATTGTGTGCTTGATCATCTGCGCATGTAGGTGGACACAAGTAATGGTCGAATCATCCCGAAGATTATTGGGATGATACCATCTGCGCTAGGGAAATATTCCGGTCACAGAACTGCTCCTGAAATAAATTGTACACATGAGCTCATCAAATATTAGCCAGCCCCTAACGTAAAACGGAATAGGGATATGGATTGGAGGGTCTGATATGAGCTGGAAGAAGATGAAGAAAACCCAGAAAAAGCAGCACTTTTTTCCAACCAAGGGTTGAATAACCTGCATTCTAAGAGCACATGAAGTCATTCAGAAAATTTGCTGGAGTAAAGGAAGGTTGTTTCAGCCTGCTGTAGTGTCGATCAGTGTTCCCCAACCCCTGGTCTGTGGACCAGTGCTGGTCTTCGGGAAAATTTCCCAAGCATAATAAATTCATCAAAACAATCAATAAGGAATGTTACAGTACAGTATCTTTTTCTGAAAATTTTGCAAAACAATTGCAGTTGAAATTATCTCTTGAGAACATGAGTTGGCTTTTCTCTTTATGACACTTCAGACGAAGTTCCACATTGTGAAATGCATGATTTTAATTTTTCATTCTGGGAAATTTTCTGCAAGCCCAGATTTCTAGTTTTTTAAAGACCTTTCCACTATAGCTGCTTCATTGGTTCCTAGCTTAATTCTTTTTTAAAGAAGCAGATATTTTTTTTCAAGTGTGGAAAAATTCCAAAAGCTTTGCTGGTATACAGAACATTTTTTGAAAATGTGCTGCTGGTCCTCAAAAAAATTTATGGAAATTTGCTGGTCCATGGGCCCAAAAACGTTGGGGAACATTGCTGTAGCTCATGAACTGACTGCAAGCTCAGAACATTGCTTATTTTTGGCCCACAATGCCTTTACTTGCTTTACAGTATGATGATTGCAAAATTTTCTGAATTTGAATTATTTAATTTTAAAAGTTAGATAAGATTTTATTAAATGTTTGAGGGAAGAATGCTTGTACATATTTGTCTGCACTTCAGGCACAGCACGAGAAAAAATCCGCAGCCTTTTAATGGCACTGCCAGATGAATGGCGCTTTTTTTTGGCGGTAGGGACAAAGTCCCCCCTCGGGGAAAGGGCACGGATCACGGGTTGAAAGTATGGCAATATGCCCACAATGCTGGCAAAAAATTTCTCACGCAAAAGGTTACATACTTTTGAAGTGTGACATTTCCCTGACCATTTGTTTTCATATTGAGTACCTTTACTTGCTTTACAGTATGATGATTGCAAAATTTTCTGAATTTGAATTATTTAATTTTAAAAGTTAGATAAGATTTTATTAAATGTTTGAGGGAAGAATGCTTGTACATATTTGTCTGCACTTCTTTGATCAAATTATATTTTTCTTTTTGAAAAATGTAGGTTGAAAAGTTTACATCTCATACACTTTGTGTAGATATTTGAAAGATTTGTCAATAAAATACGCGCATATATCAGCAGGAAATATTTGAACATTTTTTTAACTAATTTTCCTCATACAGTTTTGGTTAGTCATTTTAAAAAAACTTTTTGAATAAGTTGTTCCCTAATCCTTTTGAAATTTTTAGAATTCAGAGAAGGGAACATCAGCCAGAAGGCAATCTTTTTTTGCAAGGCTTTGTTTCTTCTGTATAGGGCTTGACGGGGCTTCAATAAGAGTCATCATGTCGTTGCGTTGAATAAATAATTGAATTTCCCTATTCCAATGATACAGTAAGTTTTCCACTTCGCTAAGCCAGGACTCAGGAAAATCGTGAAGACCGAGATGCCCTTGATTCTCCAATCGGGGAATCACCGGGACGTGAACGATATATGATGCATTATTTCCAACGGAAAAGCGGAAAATTTATATTCTTTTCAAGCATAAAAAAAAATCCACCATCAGTGCTGCTGATGCACCGCAATGAAAGAATCAGAAGAAAACTGGAGCTGTTGACAGCAATTGAAACAACTGATGAAATCATTGATTTGGCTAGCTGCCTTCGTAAGAAGGGAGTAAAGCAAGTTTTGCTGAATGCGTTTTTTTTTGCTGAACATAAACGCATAAAATTATACAGTACAGTACTTTAATAGAATGTTCAAAGGATTAAAAATAAACCTTCAGAAAATTTTGAAGAAAAATACTGTATCTGTTTATTACTTTTTAAACTTGCCAGACCAGAGTTGAGAAGAGAAAACTTAATTGGAGTGTCTCTTGAATGAATTCTAATTTTAAAATTCTTAAGACTACAATCAAATGAAGAAAAGCTTGATGGCTGTAGGAAGTACTTCCTTGTATCGTAAACAACTACAGTACACTGAACGATGTCAAAATGTTGTTTGAGCGACACCAGTTCTGTCTAATGAAACTAATTTATCCGTCGTTGTGTGTTCAATTCTCCCGCTGTTCAGTAATAGGCATTAGGTGGCTGTCTCACAGGATCTGCTGATGTCAGGTTCGATTGGGTCTAAGCCTACACCGGAAGGGTTGGTAGAAGTGGATTTGTGCAACGATCGAGATTGATAGCGAATTTTCCCAGTTTTGTGGGATATACAGGCAGTGACCTTAAAGCGTAATTTGCCTGCCATTCCACGCTATTCGTAGAGTTTCTGCTTGAGCATGTGTAGATATTGTATTCATGTCTAATTTGTCGAGAAACAAGAACCGCAAGGGTTCTACGGAGTGGAATTTACGAAGAATTGTTCTTGAATTAGAACTAATACAGTGTAATTGTGAATCAGATACTCATGCCAGGTGTTTTAGGGACTCTTTTGAAGTGTGTTTCGTATCTTTGGAGATTGCCAAACGCAGGCGTGACTTTTCGGGTCTAGTGTACTTTAGCGATGCCAGTGAAACGCACTGTGCGCGTCGAAGCGCGCGGCCATTAATTTTACCGTGCTGCCCTCTATGTACCCTTGCAAAGACGCGGCGTTGTTTTTACTGAGCCGCGTCGTTACCCTCCACTTATAAGGCCACAATGAAAATTTTTTTTAAATCCTATCCCTCCTATCAAGTAGGATGCGCACCCCATTTTAGCAACACGAAAACAATAATGACCATAAAGAACTGATCTTTTAACTGCTATTATTTGCCTGCACCCAACATGAGGAAAAACAAATTTAAAAAAATATATGTAACAAATTCCTTAGAATTCATTGGCAACAAAATTGAAGAAATTGATCCNGTGTAGATATTTGAAAGATTTGTCAATAAAATACGCGCATATATCAGCAGGAAATATTTGAACATTTTTTTAACTAATTTTCCTCATACAGTTTTGGTTAGTCATTTTAAAAAAACTTTTTGAATAAGTTGTTCCCTAATCCTTTTGAAATTTTTAGAATTCAGAGAAGGGAACATCAGCCAGAAGGCAATCTTTTTTTGCAAGGCTTTGTTTCTTCTGTATAGGGCTTGACGGGGCTTCAATAAGAGTCATCATGTCGTTGCGTTGAATAAATAATTGAATTTCCCTATTCCAATGATACAGTAAGTTTTCCACTTCGCTAAGCCAGGACTCAGGAAAATCGTGAAGACCGAGATGCCCTTGATTCTCCAATCGGGGAATCACCGGGACGTGAACGATATATGATGCATTATTTCCAACGGAAAAGCGGAAAATTTATATTCTTTTCAAGCATAAAAAAAAATCCACCATCAGTGCTGCTGATGCACCGCAATGAAAGAATCAGAAGAAAACTGGAGCTGTTGACAGCAATTGAAACAACTGATGAAATCATTGATTTGGCTAGCTGCCTTCGTAAGAAGGGAGTAAAGCAAGTTTTGCTGAATGCGTTTTTTTTTGCTGAACATAAACGCATAAAATTATACAGTACAGTACTTTAATAGAATGTTCAAAGGATTAAAAATAAACCTTCAGAAAATTTTGAAGAAAAATACTGTATCTGTTTATTACTTTTTAAACTTGCCAGACCAGAGTTGAGAAGAGAAAACTTAATTGGAGTGTCTCTTGAATGAATTCTAATTTTAAAATTCTTAAGACTACAATCAAATGAAGAAAAGCTTGATGGCTGTAGGAAGTACTTCCTTGTATCGTAAACAACTACAGTACACTGAACGATGTCAAAATGTTGTTTGAGCGACACCAGTTCTGTCTAATGAAACTAATTTATCCGTCGTTGTGTGTTCAATTCTCCCGCTGTTCAGTAATAGGCATTAGGTGGCTGTCTCCTCACAGGATCTGCTGATGTCAGGTTCGATTGGGTCTAAGCCTACACCGGAAGGGTTGGTAGAAGTGGATTTGTGCAACGATCGAGATTGATAGCGAATTTTCCCAGTTTTGTGGGATATACAGGCAGTGACCTTAAAGCGTAATTTGCCTGCCATTCCACCTTTCCACGCTATTCGTAGAGTTTCTGCTTGAGCATGTGTAGATATTGTATTCATGTCTAATTTGTCGAGAAACAAGAACCGCAAGGGTTCTACGGAGTGGAATTTACGAAGAATTGTTCTTGAATTAGAACTAATACAG